CTCTCTCTCTCTCTCTCTCTCTCTCTCTCTCTCTCTCTCTCTCCCTTTTCCTGTCCTGGGAATAGAGATCCATTTACCTGTAGCTGCTGCCAAAATGTAGCAGATGACCATCTCCAGTGCATGTTGAGAATCTGTGTGCTCAGGGACTGTGGACAGAGGCTGCTCTTTTGGTTCTGCCAGGTGTGTGCAGATCCCAGTTCTCATTTACATATTCATGAGGCAGTGTATTTCTTACATCTAGATCTGACCCAGATTGAGACAGAGCAGGTAGAGGTTTTCTGGATCCTTTCCAGTTATGAATTCTAGTCAGCCTGGATGAAACTTCTAATTAGAGACCAGCTGGACTTCCTCATATTCAATGGATCATGTTAGTGTTATCTTCTGCAATGGGGTGTATTATAGAAGGATAGGGTGTTTAGAGGATCGGGGAGGAGATGAGAGGAGAACTGTGATCAGAATACATTGCATAAAAGTTTTACATTCAATGAAAGAACAGTAATGTGCCTGTATTACCTTCTGTCTCATGGCTCAAATACACGTTTTTGAAAAAAAAAATGGTTGATTATCCGAAATCAGTTTGTGGAGAGCAACCACTAGTTCATTGCATGCCTGGCACTCTTCACATAATCCAAAGCATATAGCTGGAGGTAATAGGCCCTAGGTTAGAATGTACTGCTGAGATCCTGCTAAATGGACAAGTATGCAAACTCCCTTTTAGGTCTTTATGTTTATAATCATAGTTCTGCTCATGGCTTAGGTCAAGATCTTCTTTCCTCATTTTAGAGAGTGATAGCAAATGCAGCGACTAGCAACAGAGTCAACGTGTTATGGATAGAGAACTGTGGAGTGCAAAGCATTAAAGGAATCATGGATAGCATCTCCTCCAATGATTAGGGAACATCATGGAAGATGAGGTAGAAAGATCGTAAGAGCTAGAATAAGGAGAGAAGTGCCATGAAAATCTGTCTTTGGATGTGGCAAGGCCATCACAGCCATGAACATTCAGAGGATGTGGCTATCTGAGAAAGGCAAGAGAATAGGAAGGGCAATGGTTGAGAGAGAAAAGGTCACCAGGAGTAGATGAGCAGGGTCAGCAGGAGTGGATGAACAGGGTCGGCAGGAGTGGATGAGCAGGGTCAGCAGGAGTGGGTGAGAAGTGGGTCAGCAGGAGTGGATGAGCAGGGTCAGCAGGAGTGGATGAGAAGGGTCAGCAGGAGTGGATGAGAAGTGGTCAGCAGGAGTGGATGAGCAGGGTCAGCAGGAGGGGATGAGCAGGGTCAGCAGGAGTGGATGAGCAGGGTCAGCAGGAGTGGATGAGAAGGGGGTCAAAAGGAATGTAGATAGAGAAAAGTGTGATACAAAGTAAAGATATAAAATAGGGATAAAGAGATTATCTCGCTGTGTTCTGTTTCTTTATTCCGCTGAACATTTCCTTTGTTGCACATTCATAAACGCTTTGATGTGCTATTTGCATATTTCACCATGTTTGAGGATTTTGCCTGTTATCAACTTAGAAATTACATTTATTTTTGCAATATCTGTGTTTTGTGCAAATGGTACTTGTTCTCATCTTACATCTATTTTTAATATAAATATCTACAAATGACAAAAATAGCACATGTCTGTAGGGTAAAGGTGCTGTCTGTTGTCGAGATGTTCACCCTTGTTCCACAAACTATTAAATGCAATGTGGTATTACCACCCATGAGACTGCAGAAAAACTCTCTGCACAACACGTCAAACAGAGCAGATTCACATAAGTCTAGTCTTCTCCTTCTGTAATGAGGACACTTCTGTCTTTTCATGTCAAGCAATGAGCTACTCAATAAGGGACATGCACAGTTAAGTGAATGGTTTTCCTCATTGTCCCCAAGAATCATGCATGAAAAGTATATTTTAATCATACATTTTGTGAGCTAAAGCTGTCCTCACACCAATCTTGGGTCAATGAAAATGTCTGTTTTCAACTGATAATAAGGTGATAGATGGAAAACACGAAATCATTTTGTCCTTTGCTGTAAGTGTAGGTTAATGCAGCAGAGTCTTGGTAGAGGTCCACCCTGCACAGGATATTTCTGAAACAAGACTCAGTTGCAGGAAGGTAATCATCAAAAAGAAGCACAATGTGGTTCACAGAGACCAGGCACTAAGAGCTGGAGCTTTTTGCTCAGCAAGATATCTATCTGTCTGTCTTCACAAAGCGGTGTGTGATGTTGGAACATAACATGGTAAGTCCTTCATCCACAGAATATATTATTTAGAAGGCTGATACCCAGCTTAAATCTGCAGTTTTTCATATTCCAAGAATTTACAACAAGAGATGGTTGAAGGAATCAGGGATATATGGACTGAAAATTTACCAAGAAGCTTCCCTAAATCGCCCCAGAGCACAGCCTGGGCCTCAGCTGAGTTTAAGTTAAATGGCTCATGTCTGTGTTTAGAACAAAGGTCAGAAGTTTTTGTAAAGAAGCAAAATGTAATGAAAGATATGATGATGAAAGTTACAGATTAAGTAAGTGAATCAGTGAGAAATACAAACATGTCAGATCTGAGCATGATGTGTGTAGTTCTTAGGGAAAGCAGAAAGATTGGAGACCTGTCAGGGTGTATGGGTCACTGAGTGTAGCCTCACCTCCCCCGTGGTTACTCTAATCCAAAACACTGTCCTAATCAGAATACCACTGAGGCTTTGACCTGAATCTCACGAGGGAGAGGCCTCACCATCACCCGGACCTTCCTAAGCATTTGATCCTCGTGAATTTAGCAGAGTCATTTCTGCATTCAGCCGTGATTTTCTGCACTTAGTTTACATTAGACAGTGGTGTATATATTTTATATGGTGGCAAAACGGAACCTATTTTACCAGATGTCCTAGGCCATATATGTAGAGAGCATTCTGAGAAATTATTAGATGCAGTGAAAGATGAGAACTAAGAAACCAGCACTCAATAATATCTGCAGCCTTTTCTACAAAATCCTTTTGCGCCAACATGCTCTGCGCCCCCTGCTGGTTCTAAGCGCTCCTGCAAGGAGGTTTGTGTCTGGGTTTACACTGAAGATCTCTCACTGTGTTTCTAGTACAATAATAAATGGCCGTGTCTTCGGGTTTTAAGCTGTTCATTTGCAGGTAGATGCTGCTTTTGGAATCATCTCTTGAGATGGTGAATCTGCCTTTCACAGACTCCACATAGCGTGCTTCGTAATTATTAACTTTGTCCATAATTAGAGCAACCCACTCCAGCCCCTTCCCTGGAACCTGGCGAACCCAGTTCATCCAGTAGTTACTGAATGTGAATCCAGAGGCTGCACAGGAGAGTTTCAGGGACTTTCCAGGATGCATCAGGCCTCCCCCAGACTCCACCAGCTGCACCTCACACTGGACACCTGCAAAGAGGAAATCCTGTCAGTAAACTCTCACCAATGTCCACTGTCCCTCACACTCATGTCCACTCACACACTGAGTATCTTTCTTTATCTATAAATTACCTTTGAAAAGAACAACAAGGAAGACCCAGCTCAGTCTCAACTCCATGCTAGATATTCTGCGCTCAGTAATGATCACAGAATGGGAGGACCTATGAGTCTAGACCTGGGTGCCTCTGTCAGAGCTGTAGGGTCAGGGCTGGTTTTCATGAGCAGAGGGGAATATTATTTGCATATCTTTCTGATATATCATGACCTCAGGGGTAGGAGGCTTAGAGGAGATACAATAAGGGCCAAAGATCATTTATAGCATCAAAGAATCACTTATTGTCCTTATCACTATCACTAATGGGACCTAGCTCAGTTGAGAGTACTAGTTTGCATGCCTGAAATATTCATGTTTCATCCCCATCACCACATAGTAGGCAAGAGAAGGGAGCAGGAGTTTCATAGGTTTGAGTTCTGATTGGGCTACACAAACTATGTATATAAAAGGAAAAGAAGAAAAAAAGGAAGGAAGGAAGGAAAGGAGAAAGGAAGGAAAGAAGAAAGGAAGGAAGGAAGGAGAGAGAAGAAATATTACTTCATTACTTAGCATAAAATTATAAATAATAATAATATAAACTTATAGCCTTACTTTACTATGTTTTGTTATATAAAAAACTTTACTATGTTATATAAACTCTTTGGTTGTCATAGAAATTATCAAATAATTTCTTATGAAATTTGGACAAGATAGACTGATGATGATTTAATAAATGTTGTATAAGCTTAAGTGCATAATGAATGCATATATTAAGTTAAATTAACAAAATGTGGCTGAGGCCATAGCTCATTGGTACAGGATAGCATGGAAAAAGCTCAAAAATTGATTCACAAAAAGTAAAAGAACTATCAATTAAATATAAATACTGAGATTATTCTTTGATCAATAATAAAAACATCTTGAAGACCTGTGTGTAGCACGTAGCTCCTCCAGCCCTGACCTCCCCCATGCACCATGCAGGTCTGCTCCTCCCCAACCCAAAGGTATTCCCACCTCCTCAGTGACTTCCATCAGGCACCAGGTAGGTCTATTTCTATCCCTGCCTTCTGTCCCACAGATCCTCAGGGTCTTGCCTTTCCCTCATCACCACCTAGGTCTGCTCTTTCTCACAGAGAAGACCTACCTGACCCTTTAGAGACCTGCCTTTTCTATTCTACAAAGTAGTCCAGCTACTTCCTTTCCCACAACCTACTCTCTTCCTGTGATATCCCTCCCCTTCACATCATGTTCTCTTTGCTCCTTCCCACATCTTAGGCATTCTTCACCATGGTCTTGCTTCTCTGAACTGCTGAGTAAACATGGATCTTACTTATTCCATAGGCCTCCCGCTCCTCAAGGTTCTTGCTAAGTGCTGCCAAGTGCTGCCAGACTGCCTGGCATTACAGAATCTTTCATCCCCATGCACCCTTTATAGGATAAATAGTAGTATTTGGTTTCCCCATGGTCCAACTAACCTCAGGGTCTTGATTCCCTGCATGCTTGGAAGGTGTTCAGTCTTATTCAGTCAGCCTGAAATAAAATTATATTTTCATTGGTTATTCCAACAAAAGATACACTGCATGATACCAAAGGAGAAAGGTAAACACAAACCCAGCTACTTGGACCTACAGTAGGGACCAGCCTGCAAGACACAAATATATTTTATAACTCTATTTTCCCTTATCAAAGAAGCTTTTTAATTTTATTTCAAATGGAGACTGTTACATAGATCCATATCAGGTAAACATGCAAAGAACAAATGACTCTGGGGATGCCCAGCTACACTTCATACATCTTGAATGTTAATCCTACATCTAAGGCTCAGGGAAAATCCTGGAAGAGGGGGAAGAAAAATTATAAGATCTAGAGGACAATGATGCCACTATGAGGTGGTATCTTCTAGACAGAGCAATGATGTAGCACCATGAACTCTAGACAATATTGATATATAAATTAGACATTCATAGTATAGGGGGAATCCTCTCAGGCCTTTCCCCCTAAATGAAGAGCTATAGGTAATCAATGGCTGCTGAGATAGGGAGAATCGGTTTTCTTCAGGTACAAGTTCCCTTATAGGTTATTTTATCCCAATCATCAGCTCTAAACACAAGTACATATATATAACATCAAGTGGAATCAATAGATTAAATACACACAGAAACATGCACACGTAAAATATTAATTAAAGATGAAGCAATCATGAATCTGAGAGAAAGTAAGGGATGGATATGAGGGGAATTTTAGTGGGGATATTGATGTATATAGAACTAAGGTAAAGAAATTCTCAAAAAATACTTTAAAAAAATCTAAAAAGCAACAGGAAATTTCTTCTTACACCCAAACTCTTGGAGGGTGGTCTGTGTTCAGTGTTGAACACTAAATGGGAAGACCTGGGAATCCAGTGCAGGGCTCCTCAGCCAGAGCTGCAGGGTCAGGTCTAGGCTGATTTTCATGAGCATAAGGAGGCTGTCTCTGCATGTTCTCCTCCCTAACAATGAACTCAGCATTGAAATCATCAGGAACATGAATGCCCAGAGCAGATGAAAAAGACAAAACTAAGTAATGGAAATAATTACTTACTTTTATTACCTATTTATGATGTAATTCCAAATATTATTTTATTATGTGTTTTTTAATCACAGACAGCCCTCTGCTTTATGTGCTCTGCAGAAGCATTATAATACAATGTTGATAATTTTAGGAGAAAAAAAACTTTATAAATGTTGAATGCAGATATTAAATTGAAGAAATTGGTTTCAAGGATGAAGCTTTGTGTAGATTCATGGAAAACAACTGATGTATGATACCCAGTACTGGGAAACAAATTTACACACATTCTATAGAGTATTATTTTTCTGTAAATAACTTGTTACATATTTGAATTTTGTGTTTGTATTTATTATTCACCAATGTGGGCTCTGTTTCATGTAACATTCCTCTACATCAGATCACTATTTTCAAATATGCTAGTAATAATGTAACATGTCTGTGAGTACACAGAGAAATCTAGAGACTCCACTCTAGCATCCTGCTCTGATGTCCTTCAAGCTCTCCAGTGGGACCCTCTCATCAGGACATGACACTCTGTACTGATTGATTGGGAGTGAAACTCAGCACAAAGGGCCTTAAAATTGCCTCTGTGTGAGACATGATTCTCATGTCTGAGTTTTCCATTTGAGAAGTTCATTCTGAGACAAACTGTCTTCATGGTGACTTAAGACAACTTTCAAATTGTATCATTTCTGTTTCTGTAGCATTTAAAGGAGAGTGGCATAGATTTAAGAAGTTACTGCAGTGTTCTCTGTGAGAGTCTTCAAGGCAAGTGTTCTAACTGACACAGGATATGGTTTCTTGGGCTTGTATGTGGTTAACTGAGAGGAATAAACTCTGTGTAGAATCAGGAAACACATTTGCTGGCCCCTCCCTGCACCTGCTCCTCAGGATCTGCTCAACTGATTTATTTTGTTTTCCTCCTTTTTGCTGTCTCAGAGCAACAAGTATTTAGCAATGTTATTGATTATATGAACTTGGTGTCATTTGTAAGTCATACTATAGAGTAGCTGATTGTGAACCTCTGTATTTTTCATGATGGAACATGGTCTCCATTTAATTGATGTCACTCCCATGTAGAAGTTAATTTAAGTGTTTTGTAGATAGTATTAAAGTATCTCAACAATACCTTGTAAATAAGAAAAGCCATTCTATTAGTTCTGTGTTATTATGATACACTAGGGTAGCCATCAGATAGAGTTCTGTGAAAGATGGAAGCTTTGTCTTTCTTGGAGAAATCCAGCCTATCCTTCTCGCTGCATTGGTCCAGACAGTTCAAATCTAACAACAACGCAGCATTCATACCACTCTTTATCTTTCTGTGGATAGTTCTTCAAATTCACAGAGAGGGAAATCCCTTTCTTTCTATCCTGACTGTGTGGTTTATATTTGAAGTCCATGATGATGTTGACATCTTGTACATTACCCAGATGACTTCCAGAGGACATTGGACATTAGAGGATAAGAAGATCTGTCCACCTTTACCTGGTGAGGAGACTCTTCATGAGTTTCATGTGATCTACTTGAAAAGGCCCAGAGTTAGATAAGGAAGGATAATGCTGAAATTTGAGAATAAAGTCCAGAAGGAAAATAAATGTACCAGCATAAAAATAAACACCACCATCAGCTCCCAGCCTGAGGTCACTCACATGTGTGAAAAGAGCCAGAATAAATTGGGAAACAAAATGCTTTTTCTACTCACTGGGTCATGTTTATACAACTTTTTGACTTTAATCTGAATGAAAAGTGTGTTTAAACCACAGAATCTCATTGTGTGATGAAATTTTTCAAAATATAACCATTCTATCAATGGCAGAATCATTCCTGCTCCTGAAAGTGACATTTTTCTTTTGTAGAGACTGAATATATGTTTTACTTATTAAAAAAACAAAAACACATAGCGATATACACAGACAGAAAAGACTGGATTCAGACATGGCAAAGGTATAACAAAGCCAGAAATCAAGAAAAGCTTTAAGTGGGCTTGCTGGATCTAAGAACAGAGAAAGTAAGTGTGTGTGTGTGTGTGTGTGTGTGTGTGTGTGTGTGTGTGTGTGTGTGTGTTACGGGGTGTTCTGTGCAATACAACTCATGTCCTCACTATGTCTTACTGTAATACAAAGTTGTAACCTGTGCAATCGAAGACATAAACCTCAGGCTCATGAATAACTGGTCTTTAGCTGTGTCTCTGGAAGTGGAGATGAAGATGAACAAGGATGGCTTTTGTTTTCTGACTCCACAATAATTTCATTGCCCAGCAGCATATCCCCTTTTCTAAAGCTTGGAAAACCCAGTGCCAGTGGGTATCAGCTTGTCATAGAATAATCAGAGATAACTCAGGAGACGACAGACCCTGACATGAATTTCCAAGGCCAGGTCCAGATACCTGTAGTCCCTGACAGTCACCACATTGGGAACTTACCAAGAACCAATGGGCAACAGTCAGGAACCCTGACCTTGGGAAGCTGAAACAGAAAGAAAAGCAGACTCACTAGTATTATTGTCTTAGACAGGGTGTCTATTGTTGTGAAGACACAAGATGACCACAGAAACTCTAATAAACA